AGGCAGCCTCGCTGTGTTCATGGAGCAGACGACCCTGAGACTGGGGGCTCTTTGATGTCAAGGGCAGGTTCTTCCTAATTGTTCCATCCTAGATGCCCAATGTTTGGTCTAGGACTTCATCCAGCCTAAGAATTATTTTTCCTATTTTTTTATTGAAGTATAACCAGTTTACAATGTTGCATCAATTTCTGGTGTACAACATAATGTTTCAGTTATATATGTACATAAATATATTCCTTTTCATATTCTTTTTCATTATAGGTTACTACAGGATACTCAGTATAGTTCCCTGTGCTATATAGTATGAGCTTGTTGTTTATCTATTATATATATAGTAGTTAGTATCTGCAAATCTCAAACTCCCAGTTTATCCCTTCCCATCCCCTTACCACCCTGGTAACCATAAGTTTGTTTTCCGTGTCTGTGAATCTGTTTTTGTTTTGTAAATAAGCTCAATTGTGTCTTTTTTTTTAGATTCTACATGTAAGTGATATCACATGGTATTTGTCTTTGTCTGGCTTACTTACTTCACTTGGAATGACAATCTCCAGGTCCATCCATATTGCTGCAAATGGCACTATTTTATTCTTTTTTATGGCTAAGTAGTATTCCATTGTCTGTCTATATATACCACATCTTCTTTATCCATTCCTCTGTCGATGGACTTTTAGATTGCGTCCTTGTCCTGGCTGTTGTACATAGTGCTGCTATGAATATTGGGGTGCATGAATCTTTTTGAATTAGAGTTTTCTCTGCTTGTATGCCCAGGAGTGGGACTGCTGGATTATATGGTAATTCTAATTTTAGTTTTTTAAGGAATCTCCATACTCTTTTCTATAATGGCTACACCAAATTACAGTCCCACCAACAGTGTAGGAGGGCTCCCTTTTCTCCACAGCCTCTCCAGCATTCACTGTTCGTCCAGCCTAAGAATTATTGGTAAATGTGGGCTGAAAAGGGGACACAGAGAGAAACGAGATTCCATCCCCTGCCCTCTAGAAGCTCACACTCCAGTGGGAAAAACTGATCCACAAACAGCTCAAGATCTAAGCCAATCAGAGTCCCAGGAGAGGCATAAAGAGCTACGGCGTCACCAGCTCCATGGGACGATGCCGTGCTTCCCTCTGGAAAAGTCAGATAGGCTTCTCAGAGGGGACAACTTGCGTATTGGGCCTTGAGGGCTGAAGAAAGTCCAATGGCTGAGTGGGTGCATGCAGGCAAGACAACTGGGGAAAGGATTCCAGGCTGGCAGAGGTAGGAGAGCAGGACAGATTGTGAGGGCCAAGCTCAGCTGAGCCTACTGACCCTACCAGGCCATGAGCTGCGGGAGGGGAGGGCCATGTCTGTCTGCACCTAGCACAGTGCCTGCACCTGATGGGTGCAACGTAAGGATTTGTTGCAAGCAGATCTCATGGGGTGTAAAGTCTAATACAATTTGGTGGACCTATTTAAGAAAAAGAATGCAAAATTCCTAATGTAAATGTAGGCAGGAAAGTGAATGTTTATTTGAATTGAAAAAGGGAAGGAGCTTGCAACAGAAGAAAGTGAGGTCAGAAGAACGTGTGGAGGGTGAGGTTCTCGGAGCGGAGGAGCAGGGCACCGGGCTGACAAAGCTAGCCTTTCCTGTCCGCCCTGAGGCCCAGGTTCAGAGCCGACCTCTGAGCCCTCAGTCATCCTCAGACAAGCCACCATGACCATGCTTCTGCCACGCTTTGTAGGTCTCTCTGGCCGCAAAAAGGCCTGATTCTCCCAGGTCAGGAGATTTCCTACCCCGGGGAGGGTAGTCAGAGGGTGAATGTGGGCGTCTGAAAACTGTGTGCTGGAGGTGACCTTGGGCACTTCTCTCCCAGGCCTCAGGGGTCATGGAGGGTCTGTTCTGAAAGCCTCCTTTTCATGCAGGCATTCTGCTCATCTGACCTGCTTCAGAGGCTCCCACAGCAGGGGCGGCCAGAGAACAGCTCTCTGAGAGCCTCATTCATCTCCCAATGCTGAGGTCTTAAGAGGCCAGCCCGGCTCTCTGCGGGGTGGTGGTGGGTAGGGGCGCATGGCCATGGAGGAGCTCCTGGCCCAGTGGGGCCAACTAGACACGAAATACCTGATTACAGAGACTTCAAACTGAGAGATCCCAGACCAAAGGTGGACTTCCTGGGGGAATTGAGGAAGGCTTCCCAAAGGAGGAAACACTTGATTTGAGAGATGGCGCATCCATTCGACAATTATTTACTGAGTACCTATTACATGCCAGATTCTGTGCTGGGCTCTGAGGATACAGCAGAAGAAGACAGATGAAGTATTTGCCCCAAAGTTTCTTCCCTTTACTCTAATAGGGAAGCAGGAATTAACTCAAGAGAGAATGGGAACCTGGACCCCCAGACAAACAGGAGCAACCATATGGAGGGGAGAGACTGTATCCTGCTTATGGGTGATGCTGGGAGAAGCTTGGTGTAAGGGGAGAGGGAAGTGATTGGGAGATGAGGCTTTTGGGATTGAGAGGAGCAATAATGGAGGGGATGGAACACTGGGCTAGGGACCTAGGACCTGATCATGCTGGCAACTGGGAGCCACAGAAGTTCTAAGCAGAGGGAGAAGTCACAAGGTTTCTTTGCACCATAACCAAGCTCAACATGTAAGGCAAAATACAAGCCCTCTGGCCACAGCCACCAGTGTGAGTTTCCTGGGGCCAACCTCCCCCAACCCCCCAACCCTGGGCTTGGCCAGGAGAGGGTATATCCCCTCCCCCAACATCCTCCACCCCTACCCTGAGCCTGGGCTTCAGCCTCCAGCTCACCCTTTTCCTTGTTCTCCTAACCCGACTCTAAGGCACTCTAGGTCCAGGCCTCATGGAGGACTCCAACCCTTCACACCTCTTGCCCCACACTATTTGCCTCTTATGGGCTTTAAGTGTTTTCATGCTACCTGGTTTCCCTACAAAGTGCTATCTTTCCCATATCAATGCCTGGCTTAATAACTTCCCAGGGTGCTCTTCTGGTAACCAATGGCTTAGGGGCTTCAAGGCTGGGGCTTCAGCAAAAACCTGTTGGGTCAGGCACACAAGCAAGACCCCAAGAGAGTTCTTGGCCCTTAGAAAAAAGTCTGAAACTCTCCTGTCTGGCTCTGCCTACCTCTTCCCATCTGTCCTGCTCTTTTGTCTCTGGGAGCTTCAGCTACCCTGAACTTGTCTGGGTTCTTCAACAGAGCAGTGCTCTCCCTCACCTCCAGGGATTTGTCCAGGCTAGCCTCTGCCCAGACAGAGCACTGTCCATTCCCTGAGACTCCCTCCTAAACTAGCTAACCCCTGCTTCTGGCCTGAGGCAGCCTGTCACTCCCTAAGGGAAGCCTCTCTTAATGCCCCCATAATAGGCCACAGGTCCCCAGAAGTGTTCTCTCAGACTGCCTGCTTTTACACATGCTATTTCCTCTGCCAGGAGAACACTTCCCTCCACCCTCTGAAGCCTGGTGCTCACCCAGTCCCTGCCAAGTAGCAACATCTTTATTTCCCTTTTACAGATGAGGAACCAGAGGCTCAGAGAGGTTGAGTAACCAGTTCAAACCCACACAGCTTTGCCCAAGAATGTGATAGTGATAAGAGAATGGAATCCTGTGTGAGCTCTATGGTTTTGGGATCATCACTTGGCCACTCTGTTTTGGTGGCCTCATCAGTGAAATGGGGTACCTATTGCATAAGGTTGGTGGTGAGGCTTGCAGAAAACCTGTACTGTGCAGACTCCATTCCTTTGCTCCCCAGGCCAGTTAGTGGCTTTCACATGGCCCCTGCAGAACATTCAACTCATTTATTCATACATCAAAACCCTCCAAGATCTGCTCTGTGCCCCGCCCTGCGCAGGGTGCTGGGGTCTGGAAACTCAGAGCTACATCAGACACAGCTCCTGCCTGAAGGCTCGAGGGGAAGGGAGGGAGCACATGGCAGAAACCGAGACAAGGAGAGAGAGAGAGCGCGCGCGCGCGCGCGCGCGCGCGAATGTGTGTGTGTGTGTGTGTGTGTGTGTGTGTGTTTGTGTGTGGTCCTCACACACCTCTGCTCTTGGCTTCTTATTTTTAGAACTGACAGGGACGCTCTTCCCCGCGGATGGGCGCTGGGAATGGGGAAATGTTGAAGAAAGATCTGCTCTTTGTTTCCAAACTTACTTTTCACCGATTCCTGAAATCTGAATATTTCATGGCATCCAATACTCACCTTGCGTTAAGCCCTAGAAGCTGGGGAGGGAGAGGAGTACCGCGAGGGTGTGTCCCGCCAGTCCCGAAGGCCGATAACTCACCTAGCCTCCATCCTGCTTCTTTTCCTACCCCGACCCCTGTTACTACCCCATGACTCCTCCACCTCCGTGGCAGCACCCCACCTCTCCCTACATCCGGATCCCTCGCTCAGCTCTTTAACCCCATCTCCCCCTCATTGTCCTCTCTCCAGCCGCACCTCTCCATTTATGGCCCGCCCTCTCGGAGGTAGAGTCCAAGTTCCGCAGAGCTCCGCTCCTTTCCCACTCTCCGATTGGCTCCCGCTGC